AATAAATAATAAATTTAGCATCTCAATGCCCAGTTTTGTTGACGATGCAACAGAAAATTTAATTTTTAAATCATACCTTATTAATGTAAGTAACTAAGGAAATTATTGACCGAGGAGGAAATTTACGACGAAAAGAAACGTAAACGGTTCAGATAACTGAGTTACCTTAAAGTAGCTACTGCATGAGACGCAAATTTTCTCAAACGAAATTTTCCATCACATCGACTTCCGCCTTTTCCACACTTCCGTAGAATAATTATTAGCACCTCCGTTATTTCGCGCAACGTGACTCCCTGTCTGTTAAACTTATTGCGAAATCAAACGCGCCAGAGGGTGAAAATGATTTGCCAGATATATAAATTTTACAAATAGCAGGCGTGAAATATTACTAGAGAGGCATCTCAATTATGGAGTTTTGACGCTAAGATTTTAATCTAATTAGACATAAAGAAAATCATTTATCAGTTCTTATTGAATACTTATACCTATATCTACTACCTGCAATAATTTGTAACTTGATTTCCCGACTGTCATAGTTGCGTATAATTGAATTTATTAGGATATTTATTCGTTAATTAAAGAATTCCGTAGCCTTGTCAAGGAAGTTCCACCATGGAGTATTATTTCAAAGTAATTCAGACTTGAAAATTAAGAGGCGCTACGGTATGTAGTAAACAGCGCAAGCGCGGCCATGTGCTAACATAGCGGCCATCTTTACTTACAAGGTAAAAAAATGGAGACCGTGATAACGGAATAAATATATTTTAATTTTATTTTTCTCATACAATTCACATGTCAAATAGAATTTTTGACAACAAATCATCCTTTTCCTGAAAATAGGTTGTTATACGTCAAATGCTGAATTAATCATTAAATAAAATTCAAAATCTTCCTATTTAAATTTCGCACTTTTTTTTCTTTTAGTTTAGACTCGTATTAAGAGATGGCGCAAAACCGAGCATGGGTTTTACTCAAATCGGACACATATTTTTAGTCATGTAGACAGTACCATGATGAATTTTTTCAATGTTTTTGAACTTTCTGCACACATTCATAGACACAAGTGCTTGTCATTTGATGCCATTCATGACAATATACAGTTGATACTCACAAAAGGTTGTCTGTAAATGCTGTTAGCGCAAAATATCCAGAAAATTCTTATGATTGCAATTTTTGACAAAACGATTCACCTTTTGTTTTATTTGTTAGACTATTTCTTCAAATTTGCATCGTTAACTTTCTGTATTATCAATAAGAAGAAGCACTGGCTGAATAAAATGTTTTATTTCGTTGATTTAGCTGCAGTAAAGTGCTTTTTGATATCTAAGCAATTTAATTTTTGATTGCCAAAGTCTCTACTCTAGAGAAGCCGCCGCTTGGCCTTTAATCGANGCTACATTTTAGGATTACGTATGCTCGTGCTACAGATGTATTATCAATAAAATAAGTCGGATAATGTAGGTATATATTTTATAAGAAGCACTGGCAGAATAAAATGTTTTATTTCGTTGATTTAGCTGCAGTAAAGTGCTTTTTGATATCTGAGCAATTTAATTTTTGATTGCCAAAGTCTCTACTCTAGTGAAGCCGCCGCTTGGCCATTAATCGATAAATTACTGAACGTGCTAACGTACTAAACCAATTTGTGGTGGTGAAATAGAATTTTCCTCATTTTTAACGATCGGAGAGAGGAACTAGCGTTCGCGTTACAATTAAGTAGCTGCTTAAGCCCTAAAATAAGGCTTCTTTACTTTTATCACTTCTTTTACCAGTGGTTCTCAACTTTTTTTCCTCGTCCACCAACAACGTTTGGACAAAACATGGATTCACTTACTGATATTTAATTAACTTCATTTATCTATAGGAGAAACTACCACAAATGGCGCGGTAAACGCCATCTGTAGTACGATGCTACATTTTAGGATTACGTATGCTCCAACAAGGTCCTTTTAAATATATGGATATCTACTTGCTGAAACGAATCCCGGAGTAGCTAACCACTACGTGATAGGCACGTTACCATAATCGAATAAAATAATTCGAAGAGCAAGTAGATATCTATACATTTAAATGGACCTTGTTGGAGCATACATAATTCTAAAATGTAGCATCGTACTACAGATGGCGTTTACCGCGCCATTTGTGGTATTTTCTAAAACCCGCTGTTATGACAGCAGGCGAAAGTTGGCCTGTGTTCTGTCGGAGCAGCCTGCGACGCGCTGATGAGATCCAAAAAGATCCACGTCTGGCAGTTTCGACAGAATACAGATCTCTTCGAATTATTATATTCATTTATAGGAATTCCACACTTCAGAGAATGAAAAAAAAACATAAATCAATTGTTCATTTTTTTCGCGTGTGATCGAAATTCGTTGATTTTTGCTATTTTTATAACACTTTAAAACAATCACCAACATAAAATTGTTACGTATTCGTCTCCCCGCCGATGCAATACTTTTTTATACTTTCCTTAATTTTAGGGGCACACGTTACCTATGTGAATGTCGTTTCATATTTTTTCGGATCATATGACAAATCGTTGGAAAGATTTGGCAAAAAAGACATTCAAAAATCATATCTGTATAATTTTCACGTAACATATCTGAAATATTTTTGAAAGTATGTTCCTTCCTCTTTTATTTCCGAAGGAGACACAGTTTTTAAAAATAATCCGAAAGATTATGACTTTTGGCAATCCTCATTTCAAGCTACAAATTTAAGAATATGCTACAATTCAAAACGAAATATATTTAAATTAGTTATTTTTCCAGAATTTGAAATGACAAGATTACGGGGTAGTTTTTTGAAAAAACTTTTCAATCCGATTACATTCTGGTCATTAAACTTGAAGAATAAACGTAACATTAGCTTTCGCCTTTTGTTCTCTCATAAAAAACAAACCTTTTTTCCGTATCTTGGGATCTTGGGGTTTTTCGTTCGAAGTAAAGGAACCGTATACATATATGTATATACATAAAGTGGAAAACTGTAAGCTTTAGCCTCAGATGTCCCGTGTCCATCAATGTTTAAAATGCCATTTGTATGCGCACGTGTTTTCTTTCCCTTCGAGTTGGTCTCTTTATTCCTTAGTTGTACGCGTTCAATCCCCTAAACTCACCCTTCATAAGAGCAACCTAAATGATAGCACGTTTCGGAGAGAAATACCCATTGTGAACCAGCTGGCGAATATTTAGTTTCTTTACTGCAGCGGCTCTAAAAACTTCCCCGAAATCGGCGTTTCGAGTAGGTACTCTCCTCGTACGTATTGTTAACTCAATCGATTTTTAAAGCCATTCAATCCGGCTCCAAATATTTTCACTTCAAATTCTCTCGTCCTAATGCGAGAACTAATATTTTATTTATCGATACCGATTGAATTATTAACAACAAATCTTACTGAATGAAACGCGAAACTTAGTAAAATTTTAAGGATGTTCATCGGGTTTTCAAAATTAATGATGTTTTTGTAAGTGCTTCAGAAAATCAGAAACGCAGAGTGGGACACATTTTTTGAGCTTCTCGAATTGTACAAGTTAAGTTTTAAGATTTGGAGTTGACGAATAACCTGCCACAATGCATTGTCATCTCGTGAACACGCCCACAACGCAACGTTTATGTAATCAGTCGTAATAACGTTTGAATTATCATAGAAGAAACATAATGACAACAATTACGTTGTGGTGTAAATACAATTCTGGGTAATTTTGTAGAAAGTAGCCATAATAGGTGAAATTATTGTCAACAACGTAATTTAATTAACTTGTGGATTTGTTTTACTATTTTTTTCTACTGTCGTAGTTAATTGAATTAATAAAAATTGAATTGTTCTACAATATCGGATCTATGTTGTATTAATAATTTCGTGGGATACATTATGGCCACAACGCAGTACCTATGATTTAAATAAAGCGAACCATAACTCAAAATTCACTTTCATTTCATCCTTGAGTTCCTCAAACATGCTATGTCGCATTCCACAACGTAAACTAAATTTTGTTTATGTTACATGCCTTGTTACAAATCCTGCGTTGCGGATAATTTTGAAAATCCAAAACTATAGTTGATTTTAAAATAATTCGAAGTGGTCTATATTCTGTCGAAACTGCCAGACGCGGATCGCGATTTCGATCTTTTTGGATCTCATCAGCGCATCGCAGGCAGCTCCGACAGAACAGAGACCAACTTTTACCTGCTGATTTAACAGTGCGTTTTAGAAAATACTACAAATGGCGAAGTAAACGCCATCTGTAGCACGATGCTACATTTTAGGATTACGTATGCTCGTGCTACAGATGGCATTTACTGCGCCATTTGTAGTATTTTATAGTTGATTTTATTAAATATATTTTTTACGTGGACTACGTGCAAATTTCCGCTGCGTACCTAAACAGATTTTTTTTAAATAAAAGTCAACGATGCGACGTATGTTTTTATACGGGATCTATATGTATGTGCATGTAAAGTGATCTCTCACGTTCCAATGGCTCTCGTAGCCGTCCTTGCTTATTTGCATAAAATAATGAGTTGGTAAAAGAGAGAGAATGTGCAAACTTGCCTATGTCAGATGAACTTCCCCATGTACCCTGCTGTGCCTGACGTGCAAGTTTTGTAATTGCGTCGACGTAGAGACGGGATGCGGCTGCGGCACCTGCAAATTGAATGCGATTTAGTTAAGAGAACGAACGCCTATTCACTCTAACAGTCATTTATGCCACAAAACGCTTCCATAAACCAAATTTCATTACGTGATAATTGGGAAAATTAAATAAATTTTACAGAACTCCCATTTAAAAATTACATCTTTCGAATACAGTGTAGCATTCACAGTCGTCACGTCGTCCATCCTACAATATCAATTGTCAATTTGCCTTAGAATGTGCTTTTTAAATTGACATTGTATAATATTGGGATCCGTCAAATGGGAGGAGTCTAAAAACATGGAGCCGATTAGGGAAAATTTATCGTAGTTCCTATGGTGTACACAGGAATAAATAATTTCTCACTTTATAATTTTAGTATGATTCTAGTTTTAAATATTAAGGTTATAACTGATGATAAATTCTTGCTGAAATATAATCATGTGCATTAAAATGACGTGAACAAATTTTTATTCCGGAATTCACTTCTTTGATGCCTACTGCTTTCATCCAAGCTTCTATTAGTTTACTTTTTTCTCTAATTTTCCGAATATATTTTTTACATATATAAAACGGTTAGTTTTTATTGGAAGGTAGTTAATGTAGGTGAAGAGTGAAGATCTATGTCTGAAGTGCTATTGCAACTTTTCACTGAACATATTAACTTTTTATTTGATTTAACTTTAGAAGAAAACTTCGTCGACTCCATCACTTTTTTAACGTGTTTTATTATTTTAATAAACAATTTTACAATTTGCGTACACAGTTCCTATGTAAATTTTTCCCTCATTCGAGTTATAAATTTTGCCACCAGATGGTGTATGCTCGGATCCCAATACGATGTTTAATATAACGCATAAATATCAGAGGTGCACGCGAGGTTACAATAACAGTCACAGAGTCTTAAGGCTCCGTTCACACGCAATCGTGTTGTAGTCACATTCGCTATGGACTTGAGCGAGAGTTTTCTCACTCGTTTTCGTGTGAACACAGCATTAGACTCTAGCTCGTGCTGAATACGAACTTAAAATCTGTCACTTTCTAAACCTATTGTCTAATTGATTATTTATATGTAATACTGACCCACATGTACGTTATAAATATCAGTATTTACTACTACTAAATGCAGACTCTTGTAGCCATGTAGGGGAATTAATATTATAATAATGCAAAAGGTAACTGTAGAATCAATTACATAGGGATATCGTCATAAACGAATGCTTTTATGATAGTACTACTAGTTAACATTGGAGTAGTAGGTTAATAGGTAATTTTAGTTTATTTATGATCGGCGGAGATAACATTCAGTTGTCGCACTCATACAAGAACCTGCACTATTAGTAGGTTTGTCTACATTCTGGGTATCGCTCACGTTCTCTAGACTCTTATTTACTGGTATAACTCTAATAATTCCACAAACTGCAAAAATTTAGAACACATAAATCATAGAATTTATTTTATGTTATTGGCCGCTTCGGTTATGCAATCAGTTAAACTAAAAGTGTTCACAGCGAATTACTTCAGCACACTGCGTTTCTATTGGCTAATAGACGTGAGATTTACTACATTTATATACGGATTTTGTGTGGCTACAGCCAATCATAAATAGCAGCGTACTTAGTTCTCCTTTGATGTGAAAAAAATTGGTTAAAGTATACTATGTATGTATACATATATAATTTGATGTAATAAATAACTGAATTTGATAATATCAAGAAAAAGACAAGAATTAACTTTAACAATGTCCACAAACCATTCATTTTATTGATAATTAGAGTGAAGCGTATCATAAAAAGAAAAAGAGTAATCTAGACACAATTTGAACGGTAACTACAGTACATACTTTCCCAATTTGTACAGAAATATATATTTCTTTAGATGTCTACACACATATATGGTACGTATATGACATTTTCCTCTGAAAGCATCGACATCAAAATCCGGATGCTTCGTGAATGGGACAATCACACTAAAATCATTTATCAGTAATATCACCGTAGCACAAGTGTCGTGAATAGGGCCATTAGTTAACGGAAAATCGACGCTTTCTGATTGCGAGATACCAATAGACGGTCTGATAGAAGCAGTTCGTTATTGCATTACATGGTGAATGGATAGTCAAGTTCTCTTAGCTGTCTCTGTATAGGTGCCTACATGGGATGATGTTTGTTTAACACGTTGCCATTGCGTCGGTTTGCAATTAAATAAAGTATATTGTCGATAGTAAAGAATCTGCCTTGTACCTAATAAACAATCATAGATAGCACAGTAAACGCCACCTGTGGAAATTTGTCGCTGATTATGGGCTCAGTAATGATAAATAACAACCTTTTCATTTAAATATTTGATATGTAAATTTTGTGGATACAATAGAAAAGGACGGAACATAAACTAGCTAAGAGGGAATGCTTGAAGTAGCAGGTGCCTAGATTCTATTGGAAATAGTACGTCAATTACAGCAGAGCTGGGCAAACTTTAACTTAGCAGGAGCCGCTACATGAGGTTAGTTTGAGTCACTCCATACTCTTCAATGAGTACGAGAGAGTAAGCAGTAATGAATAATTTTGTTTTGTCTTTTTCTTCTCCCTTCCACTCCCATATCAAGCCCCTTCATCCCGTAGACGAGCGAAGCCACTCTCGCAACTTAAATAATACCTACGAAAATTTTCGTTACTACGTTCGCAAAACTATTGGGTTTGGCTATGGAAAAGGGGACTAACCTACGAAATGGAAGGGATAAGAAAAGGAAAGAATCATTTCACTCGCACTCGCAGGATCAATGAGGAGCTACTTGGTTAACCTTGAGGAGCACTTGGGATGCAAAAGATCCGAGTTTGCCCGGCTTTGAATTACAGTGTAACTTAGCGGCTTGCTGACAATAACTTGGCGCAAAGGCACCACTGTAGGTCAGGTTATCAATCAATTATGAAACTATTCTTCACTGGAGATTCAATTTTATTTAGGTTTGTATCTACGCATTTTATGATGACAAGTATAAAACGAAAAAAGATTCGTCAATAAATGGATCGGCGATTTTTTCCTGGAAGAATGTCGTGCAAATAATAACTGACGGAGTGTAGACGGGATCGTTTTCCTTGCTGACAGTTAAGTGGAAAATTTTATTAAGAATACTACCTAGAATGGCTACAATATAACGTTGGCAATTTCATGCTTTCATGAAGCGAGTTGTTTGGTTCGTCTAGCGGGACTGGCAGAAATTTTGGCTCGTTATTTCTGAAAATGTACAGCCATTTTACTGCATAACAACGTTACGTGAATAAAAGGCGATACCGACTGCTTCTTTCGTATACAATACGTACTACAAGTTAGCTTTTTACCTAAAACGAACCTTTCAAAGCAACTGGCGCAAACAAATTGTACAATGTTTATAAATAGACATCTCGTAAACGTGAAGCAGTAAACTTAACTCTGAACGAACGAAATGCACATTTATAATTAACCTATAAAAAATTTAAATAAATTATTTACAAGGCTACGTCTTCATAGTTACCCACAAGTTATACACTATAGGTAAAAATTTAATCGACCATGTAAAATTCTAGGAATAATCTCGTTCTTCAAGAGGTAATAGAAAACTTTGTTGAGTATCACAATTTTAACCCCGACTGTTTCTTATTTAACTTCAGGTGTCTGCACCGATAGCGAGCGCCTTAGCCTAGAGGTTTAGACCATTGCCTAGCATTCGAGAGGACACCGGTTCGATTCCGGGTTGGTCTGGGTTACTTAGGTAAATTCCGCTTGGACAATAATATTCCACACATAAAGTCTAATCTGTCTTGATTTAGTCTGTCTCATCTTTCTCTTCCTAACCACTACCTACCTATCCCATCCCACCGATTCCTAATAAAAGGAGGTTGATGAGGGTATTCCACCATTTTCTTACGAAGGGACTGCCCATCCACCAGCATTAGAGGCCGGTGGAAATGAAATACTCGAGATAAAAATGTGTCAGTAGTATAGCTATAGGGATACTGTGACACTTCGATGGCCTGTCCATCCTCAGTCCCTTACCATGGCCTCCAAAGACACCTTGGAGGTCATTCTTCAGCTAAAAAATGACCTCTAAGACACCTTGAAGGTCATTCTTCAGCTATACTACTTGTGTCGGTAATTTAGTTTGTACAAAAATAATCGAAGCAACAAATTTGTTTACGGTGTTCATCATTTATTGCAGTAGCCAGAGAACAACAGTTTAATTTTGCCTTAGACAGCAAAAAACGGCGAATAAATGAACATTAGAACATGTACCTACGCACATCCAGCAAACAATGGTACAGGGAATTAGATAATACTGAAATATCCTCCTTTTCTGCCATTTTTGTATCATTCGATCTTTGTTGGGGACAAACTGGCATTCGCATCATAATTAACTCTACCAATTTTACATGCATTTGAAATACATCTTAAAAAAACTTCCCAGGGCAGGTCAACCTTTCAGTCATAGTGTATTTTGAAATCGATGTAAAAGAAGATGTGTCATCAGAGTTCTCAAAACTCACTTCTTCTGGTTCACCTGTAACGGAAGGACGTTGATAGTGTCACGTGGGCACTAAAGTGAAACGTCTCCAACAGCATTCCATTTAACAAGCTTCAAACGCAGAAATCTGTAGTTCATTACCATATTTGGATACTGTCTATGGGTCATAATTGCAGAAATTAAAAAGTTATTGGTAACTTCAAAAGAAAGATAGGAGACGAAAAATTCGAAGAAGTAGTCAATTTTAGGTATCTAGAAAGTCAGAAAAGTCAGTAGGGAAAGATTACTAGGGATATAAAGCAGAGGATAGCGCAGGGTCGAGTTGCCTTCAATAAAAATAAGTCATTTATGCTCGCAAACGATTAATTAGAAATTCGAAAAAGATTATTAAAGGTGTAGGTTTGGAGGGCGGTGCTATACGGGAGAGAGTGGGCGCGGCGGAAAATAATAGGTTAGAACCGTTCGAAATGTGGTGTTACAGGCGAATGATGAGGATACTGTGGCTAGAGAAGG